CTGTATATGTATACCTGTTTATTTATATATATATATATATATAACATAATAATCCAGTTGAAGTGGATTGAGGAGAGTCTGTTTCCTGATCTGACTCTGGTCACCCTGCAGACACTGGAAACATCCCTGGGATTTCCTCCAACCAGCGCACACAGCAGCAGCAGACACACACCTGTTTGTTAAAAGAGGATCGTGTGATGGTTTGATCAAACCACGCACTTCCTGCCCTCCGTGTCAGGTTTCAGCCCCAGAAGTTAAACACGGAGATTCTCTCAGCAGCTTTCATTTGTCCGCAGGAGCCTCTGCTCAACCAGCCGAGGCGGCTGAGGAGGAAAAGGAGCTCTTTGCTGCATTGCACCTCACCAAATGCGCCTCTAACTTCTTAGGACGGGAAGTGTCTGGTCCCAGACCCAGAGACGTCCCCAGTCCTCAGAGGTCGTGATGACAGCGCACCCTTTCCTCCTCTGTCGCCAAAACAAGGAAAAGACTCAAATAAAACAGCAGGAACTGCGATCGAGCGGCTGAGAGATAAATAGTAATAATAATAATAATAATGAATAAATGTAAAAAAAAAAAACACGGAGGTGTCCACGCTCACCCGCAGAGAGGAGGCTTACCTGTGGGGGATCAGCAGGCTGGGGGGGGAGGTGGGGGGAGCGGGACAGGCTGCGGAGTCGGTGCGGGGATCTCGGTCCGTGCGCGCGTCTGTCGGTGCGCTCTGCGCGGTCTGAAGGTACAGATCCACAGCCAGGGTGTTCCCGACAGGAGGGGGCGTGGTGTGTGTGTGTGTGCGTGTGCGCGTGTGTGCGTGTGTCACAGACGTGCTTATTTCTGACAATGCGACAGTTGTTTAACACTCATTAGGTCTGAAGACACAAATACGCCAAAGAACCGGTCCAAACCAGCGGTTCTGATCCCCACACAGTCTGAGGAAACTCCCTGTTGTCACAACCTACATTATGGATGACGGATTTCCCTGCTGGTCCTCTGGGAGTCTGTTCCTGTGGAAGAAGTGAGCCAAATGTTCCGGATGAATGTTGGAGCAGGCCAAACCGAACCAACACATGACTCGGTTTGCTCTTAAACCAAGCCTGGTCTGATCTGCACTTCAGAGCTAAAATTCTCCTTTATTCCCGTTAACAGTTTTATCTGAGTGCAGGTGTTTGCACATGCAAGTATATAAAATTATCTTAAGCCTATTCTACAAGATCTTTAAATAATCAAAGCTTAGCTTGACTAATGTTTACACTGCAAAACATTGCAGCCTCATTTAGTTATGTTCATTAACACAAAGATCTCTGGCAATTTTGAGAATTTGAACTCAACTTTATGAATTTTCAATTCAATTCAGTTTATTTATTTAGCGCCAAGTCACAACATAAGTCATCTCAGGCCACGGAACAGAAACATTCATATATAAAAATAATAAGTTAACATTAATTATGAGGAGCAGACTGCTTTGAGTTTAACTCCATCGCAGAACTCTCATCGGAAGGCGACAGTGGAAAGGAAAAACCCCCTCATGAGGAAGAAACCTTGAACTTTTAGAAAGTAAAACTTCCATTTTTTATTTGAGAATTTTGTCACATTTGTGTTGACTGGACTTGGGTTTGTAAGTCAGCTGGAAAAAAGGAAAGGGGAGGAAGGTGGAAGTGGGGGGTGGGAGCTACAAAATAAATGGTTTACAGTGACAACTGCCTTCTTTAAACCAAGACAACATCAAAAAATGGGAAAAAATATTGTATACACTGTAGGTAAGTCATATGTTTCATGCATGAATTATGATACCTTCATCCAGGATTTTTTTTCCTAAAGTATTTTTATTTTTGTGAGGGCATAAAAAATGTGAAATAAATTCTCAAATAAAAAATGTAAGTTT